TATATATATATATATATATATATATATATATATATCTCACGAAGCCTTGAAAAATCTTGGCGAATCCATGCCCATACTTCTTAAATTATGAAATATCCATTTCATTTCATTCCAACATTTTCTTCTCAGGCTAAATACAAGTCAATCAAGAAACATACACACAAGAGAAATGATAAGTTTCATACAAATCATGGCAATTGTGAAAATGAACATTAGAGTGGAATGCAACACTCAAATCACATCGGTGATTCTTCACCAAATTTTGAACATTGGTTTGAAAGAAATTCATGAAGAGCTCTAAGTCTTGCCAATTATTTTTGTTATGAACTTGCTTTGTACCATCAAGTTTTTCCATTGCCATATCTTGTGCCCCTTGTCAAACTTCTTGTTCTTCTACAACCAAATTTACCTTTTAGTTTATAATTGTGCTCCTTAACAATTTATACAATTTTCCTTCCCGGACTCCCTTCATCATCATCAGAGTCCCCTTTAAAACTTTGAGCATTGGTTTGTAATAAATTCATGAAGAACTTTTAGATTTATATCCTCTCGTAAGAGGTCTACGTTTCACCGATTATCTTTGTCATGAACTTGCTTTGTACCATCAAGTTCTTCCATTGCCAAACCTTATGCCCCTTGCCAAACTTATTGTTCTTCACAACCAAATTTACCTTTTTGTTTATAATTGTGCTCCATAACAACTTATGCAAGTTTTCTTCTCGGACTCCCTTCATCATCACCAGAGCCCCCTTTGAAATTTTAAGCACTCCACCTTGCCCGGTAAATTTGTAGCCTTCCATATCGAGAGAAGGAAGTGAAATCAAGCTCTTCTTCAAATATGGCAGATGTCTCACATTTTCAAATGTGTGAAATATACGCTCCTAAATATTTATATGAATATTTGTAATGCCCAAATTTTACAAGCTCTATCATCACCAAGATTGACAAAGCCACCATCCACATCTGTGTATAATGAAAATTATGATCTTTCTGAGCAAACATGAAATAAAACACTATTGTCTAAAACCCAAATATCTTTAATAAATATTGCTTTATATGGAACATTAAAATTGACCCCATCTTCACCATATGAAACTATACTTGTTTCGGCATGGTCATCCTTGCCTTTGGCCTTTTGCTTATTTTTTGTAGCATAACAATCTTTTCTTATATGACTAGATTTCTTGCAATACCAGCAAGTAACCTTCTTGTCTTATGACTTGGATCTACCTTTGCCGTGAGATTTACGTCTATTAAATCCACATGGTTGATCTCTATGTTGTGTTTTTTACTCTAGCTCCTGCTGCAAATGCTTGATTTGATTCAACAAGCATTTGTGTGGATGCTTGTCAAATTTCTTTATTTAACAATTAAGCAAAATCATATTCCAAATTAAACTTGTTTCCCATTGTATTTGTTACAATGGTAACCAAGGTATCCCAACTAGCATGCAAATAACTCAATAAAAGCAAACATAAAACTTCTTTATCCAAATTAACTTTCAGATACCTCAATTGTGCAGAAATGGAATTAAATTCACTCGCATGTGATCTAATTGTATCACCTTCTTTGATTTTCAAAAGAAACAACTTTTTCATTGCTTGCATTTTATTTGCACTAGAGGGTTGTGCGAAAGATTGTTCTAAAGATCGCCAAAGCTCTATAGATGTTTTACATTGACAAACATCAAATAAAATTAAGGATGAAATACATGGTCTAATAGCTGACAAATATTTTTGATCAAGAATGTCCCATTCCCAATCTTCTATTCCATTAGGCATAGTCTATTTTCCTCGAAGTGACCTATCGAGTTCTTTCATAACAAGATAATCTTCCATATTGATCAATTATTTAGATTTAGTTTTTTTAATTCCATTGCCCTTTCCATTTTAGAAAAAAATACAACAAATATGCACAATAACAAAAAACCTTTTTCTCTACCAATACAATGAAAAACAAACTCTAGGCTCTGAAACCAGTTATTGGGATCGAATGGTGAAAAATCAGCTGGGGTTTATCACATTTACAGCTATTGTGCATCCAAATGAACATAAACAAGCAATGGAAAGAATACGACATCAAAACATCAACAAGGAATAGAATTACAACAACATGCATTCATCTCATAGAGCATAAAGATTTAATGTGGTTCGGTTACAAAACATGACCTACATCCATTTCATCTTATAGAGCATAAAGATTTAATGTGGTTCGGTTACAAAACATGACCTACATCCATGGGAGAATGATGCGATGCTTTACTTATTAGTTTAAAAAATATTACAAGAGAGACTGAGGCCCAAAGCTCCAATTTCCAGATACTTTAATTCTCACAAAACATGGCCCAAATCAGGGTCTAAACACACAACAACGTGCACTTTCTGTCTCTAAAAAATAGCTTGCAACAGGATCCAAAAACCCAAGTAGAAAGCCCAAGACTCTTACTCTCTCTACATGGTGGGCAAAACAGGGCCAGCAGCACCCACCGTGTGCTCTCAACTTTTTCTTCCTTTTCTCTTTCTTTCTCACCTAAAACAAAGAACAAAAACCCATTTAAACATGGGACTCCCCATACACCCTAGCCCGTGGATCAAAAGCCAATCCAACGGTCTACAATAAAGGAGTTACGTCAACATAAAATATAAAACAAACTAAGTCCAAAACTCACATGTGATTTGACTTCACAGATATAACAGAAGGATCTCGAAAAGTATCCATTCCACCTTTATCTCTCTAATTCCCAAACAGGATATCATTGTAGAAATTGATAATATAAGGCCCATTAGTCTCCATTCAAGATAAGATGATCTTTGACAACATTCTCATTGCCCAAGAATGTACCTCTTCAAGATCTTTGCTGGGATGGTAGGACTTCTCATTAAATGGACATGAAAAAAGCTTTCGATAGGGTTGAATGACAAATACTGTAGGAAATCATGCAATGCATGGGTTTGATCTTAAATGGATCACATGGAGTATGAGATGTATTTCAACAACTCACTTCTCGGTCCTTATTATTAATGGCTCCCCTAAAGGCTTATTCAATGCCACTAGAGGTATAAGGTATGGGACCCATTATCCACTTTCTTAATCACTTTAGTTGCATAAGGTTTTAGTTTGATGCTTAAGAATGTGACAAGGAAATGAAGATTTGCAGGTTTTCAAGTTACATTAAATGGACCCATTATTTCTCAGTTGCAATATGCTAACAATACTTTATTCTTAAGTGATGCGGATCCATCTTAGATAAAAAACGTTAGTTTATTTTGTAAGTATTGTCAGCTGGCACTTGGCCTAAAGGTTAATTTCATGAGGCAACAATTGTTGGGTTAGCTTGCATTTGGGATCACTTAAACCACGTTGCTTTTTCCTTTGGGTGTAAAGTAGGCCACTTATCGTTCAAATAGTTGGGAATCTCTATCTCATATTCAAATCTTACTAGGTATGTTTAAGACATTTAATCCGAAGCTTTCAGGTAATACTTGACATTTGGAAATCAAAAACTGTCTTTTTGAGGTCGTATCATCCTTGTTAAATCCTCTTTTGCCAATCTACCCATTTACTTAATGTCCATTCTTCAAATACCTAGTGAGATTATCAAGAATATTGAACGCAATACATGGAATTTTATATGGGGCTCTTTCGATGATAAACATAGAGTATATCTCTTGGTGTGGTTGTGATAAAATCTCCGCCACAGTTAAGTCAAGAGGCCTAAGTATTAGAAGTATGAAGTTTGCGAGTTAGGAACTACTCTCAAAGTGGCGGTGGAGAATTATTCAAGATCCTAATCAATTTAGGAAAGAGGTGTTTGGCAGCTAAATATAGTTATTGTTGGCACGTGAGGGCAGCTAAGTATAGTTATTATTGGCACTTGTGGCCATGAGGCCTCGCATGGCCCTCCCTATAATTGTGGGCTTCCCTATTTTTATGGGAGGGATCCCATGTTTTATTTAAGCTTATCCATTCATAAAATTGTTTTGAGGTAATATATAAATAATTAATTATTTTATAAAGCCTTTTTTCCAATGCTCATATGGATGAGTATCCATGAGATCGGAGAAGTAGTTTCTTAGAGACCAGTTGGAGAAAAGGGAACGTTGGCTCATCTTCTTCCTATAAATATGGGAAGCCAGAGACAGGAAGACACAAGAAATATATGACAAAATTACAGATCCTCTAGAAAGCTTTCATTCTCTCTATTTGGTTGTTCCTAATTAAATTCGGGCTTTGCGATCACCAGCCTCACGACACACCCGTCTGTGATATCAGATTTAGTGCTCATCCTCGTCAATTAATTTTGCTTTAAGTTATGACTTCATTTCCCACACCACTAATAGAGGCAAAGATGGTAAACATATCTCTTATATTTGGAAAGACATATATAGCTATAGGAATACTGTTTTACTGTCTGGTTCGGGAGATGGCATATATTTCTGGTTCAACAAATGGCTTGGAGATAGACTTCTCTTATACCGTTATTCGGATTTATTTGCAAGAGTTTCCTCACCATCTGCCAAAATCTCGGAGTTGGTCTCTTCTTCACCTTCGGGACTGGTTTGGAACCTTTGTTCCAGTTACAATAGAGTGCTGGACATGGTCTTTTCCCAATTGCAAACTCTATTGCTCTATCTGGATAATGTTTATTTATTACCTCTGAGGTGTGATGCAGTACTTTGGAAAAGTGAGAAAGATAGGCTTTTTTCAGTAAAGTCAGCATATAGGTTGAATTTCTGCATGTTGTCTGAAAATGGCCTATTCCCCTTAAGATACATGCTTTCTTTCCTTTGGGTGGCTTTTGAAGATAAATGCCTCAATGTTGATAACCTTTGCAAGAGAAGCAAAATTCATCCCTATGTTTGTTTGACTTATTTTTGTACTGTTGCTTTGCATCTCAGCTTGGGGCTTGGGCGTTCAGGTTGCTGGGCTTTTCTCTTATGCCACCAAGAGTACGATCAATATTATCAACCATCTGCAACTTTCTAGGCTTCTATCCAAAGGGATTCTCGTGTGGAGGATCATTAGAGGAGCATTAAGCTGGCAGCGTAATAGAAGAACGTTTGACGTGGTGGCGCTAGATATTGATAGCATTAAGGATAAAATTCTTCAAACTTTGTGGAATTGGTACTCCGTTATTAAGGGAGGCTTTGGAGTTTCCATAGCTGATATCTTCACCAACTTAAAGAATTTGGCCTTCAACAATGTTTTTAAGAAAAGACATGGTAGTACTTGGAAACCTCTGCCAAAGGGCTACCTACAACTTAACTTCGATGGAAGCTTTCTCAGAAACCCATGGAGAGCTGATATAGGGGGGATCTTAATGAATCATGAAGGACATGTCTTATGCTCATAGGCTGGCCCTGTAGGATGGCAACCGCAAATTTTACAGCCATGAGCACTCTCCTATAGGGCCTAGAGATCATTTGAAGTAAAGGTCTAATGCAACTATCTTAATTGAGGGAGACTCTGTAACTCTCAATAAATGATGCAATAAGGAACAAAGGGTTCTTTGGTCTCTTCATTCTATTTGGTTGAAAATCTTGGACACTTACTTGAACTGTTGGCCTTCACCTTTTATTTGTTCATGTCTAGGATGTTTTTGAATCTAATAACCTTGCAGATCGATTTGCTAAACTAGGATGTTTTGTCTTCTTTGTATGTTTTTGATGATTTATTTCTTCTATGTAACTCTATGCTCATGCAATCTCTATTAATAAAAGTTACTTGATATTGTCCAAAATAAATAAATAAATAAAGTGCACCTTTAAAATTTCCTTGGAGATTTAGTTCCGGTGTTGACAATCATGGCTTGACAATATATTTTCATCCTTATTTATGAAATTTAAAATTTTAAAAATACTACAGATCAAGTAGATCTACAAATACTTGACAATCTTGAAATAGTCAGTCCATATGAGCTATTGCAAGATGCACTTATTTTGGACTTAACTTCTTTTTTTTTTTTTTCTGCATATCCATTATATTTCGAGGTCGAAATGATTAATTAGAGGGCTTCCAACCTTTACACATTCTTTTTTGGAGAATTTTTAAGGTACACCTTTCTCCAATAACATAAGGTTACATATTTATAAAACTTCTTCCTCACCTTAATGGTGCACAGAAATTCGGATATCCTCTTTGGTTTAGGTTGGATTTGACGCGTCTTCGTCATCTGTAGTAGTGGTTGTAGCTTGGAAAATTTTGGTGGTGCAGCTTTGCTTCTCTTGGTTTTTGCCCCACAATAAAGAATATAACCCAACAATTATCAATGTAGATCCCAGGGCACTGCAAAATCCAATACACTCATTGATAAGCCACTACTACTGAGACGTGTTCTTGCACGCACACATACACATATTACATATCTCTCTCTCTCACACATATATATATATATTTATATAAAAGCTTCCAAAATAGTGTAGATCGAGTTGAACTATAAAGATTTGAAAATCTTGAAAAATGACGGTAAAAAAATGTATTACAAGATGCACTATTTTCAAAACTTGAAATCTATTTTTTTTCTCATGTCCATGCATTTTGACGTCGAGATGATCAATTTGATGATATTGGAGCATCAAAACAACCTCTTCGAGTGAAATTTTTGAGGTGGGCTCTAATTTGATTGTTTTGAGCCTTGGCCTGTATATACTTTTCCCATGTACGAAAGCGAGAGAGGTCTTCTTTCGGCGTCGGTCCAAGTCTCCTAACTTCTCGCACCATCCTATTGGTATTTTGCTTTACCTGGTGGTAAATAACTCGTGAAGCTTAGGTTTGACTAAAATGGCTATTCTAGTTTTCCAATGTAATAACCCGTGAATATTAGGGTTGAAATGCCAATTGTAGTTTTTCCCTGGGAAGTGGATTCGATCAATGCCGGGTCCGAATAACCTCCTATAATTGGTCTTTGCAGTGTTCATAAAATCGAATCGAAATGGTTAATTGGGCATGGGTATGAAGCGGTTTAATCGGCCTAATCGGTAAATCGGTCTATTCAACCGCTCTAACCGAACAAGTCCTGGACGATCAAAAAAAGTGTTGAAAAAAAAAAAAAATTCAAAAAAAAAAAATTTCTACTAAAATATGAAAAGCATATAAAAAATGATTAAAACAAAACACATTCAAATAAAGTTGAAAATTAATAAAAAAATAGATTTTAGCCTATTTTATATTTTCCAAGAGCTATTTTAAAATTTTCTAAAAAAAAAAAAATGTAAAAGTGAGTATTAATGACCAAAACAATTTTTAATCTTTACCATAATGTAAAAAATATTTAAAAATTCATTACAAATCAAATTTCTTATTTTTGAGAATATATATACATTTTTTTGAATTTTTTTTAAAATACCAGTTGATCACCCCGAACCGTCCAAAATCGGTACTGAGCGGTTATAATTTAACCAGGGGGTAAGCGGTTAGATTGGGAGATTTTGTGAATAATAGGTCTTGGTAACCGGACCTAAATGGGCTGTCCCGAGGGCCTAAATCGGCCGGTTTGCAAACAGTGGATTCGATTTTCTCACTTTTATTGTTTTAGTCTCATGATAGTAATCCAGCACTTTTGGTCGTTTCTTCTTTTTAGGTTAATCAGCGGCGAGAACAACAATACTATGATATACATAAAATATTCTTTCTAATGAATGGTAAATGAGTGTGCCACATTCCATTTACATTAAATAATGAAGAATGTCACCCTCCCGTATGACATCTCCGTGTTTTATTATTATTAATAAAAAAAATTATTATGTTAACGATGAAAATTATTATTATTATTAATAAAAACAATTATTATGTTAACGGTGAAAATGAGGGTGGGACCAAGGAATCACCAGTGACCGACCCCATTACCTACAACTTGGAAGACGTCTACTGCTTGAGCAGACAAGTTAAGTGGTGGGACGCGGGGACTTACCCCTAGGCGAGGCGAGTGGGCTCTTTGACCCTAAAAAATATTTTTAAAAAAATTAGAAAGAAAAGTGAAAAAATTGTCATAAAAGTACATTGAAACCTCAAACAACTTTAGAAAGTTAAAACAAGGTTAAATATGTATAGACAAAATGATTTAAAAAATCACATTTTTAAATCCCAAAAAAGGAAAGATATAAAAATAGTGATTACGATAAAAACATTCACCAATCTTTATCAAATACAGCCAAATAATATACAAAAAAAACAATCTAACATTGTCTATTTTTTATTTTAGATTGTTTTTATTTCCCCGAATTTTACACCAAACTCACGAAAACTGAGAACCGAGAGGCCGAGTTATTCAGCGGACTTGGGCGAGTCACTGCACACCGCAGATGTCTCAAAGATACAACCAAGCCCAATTTGCTTGTTGCAATCTCCTCTTCTTTGCTTTTTTTAGCTAGAGTTAGTGCTCCCTTTTTATGTTTGGGAAATTTAACAAGAAAATCATTATTTTTCAGAATTTTGAACTTGTTTCACATGTTTTCTATTTTACTCCATTTCTTAATTTTTTATATGGACGCGGTTAGCATGCGGCCAGCCTGCATATTGTAGTAATGCGGGTTTGGTAATAAATATATTTTTTAAATATAATTTGATCCTAATTTTTAGAGAATATAGAATCTTTAATATGGAGATCATGTATATGAAAAAATAAATAAATTTTTAAAACTAAAAATAATATTTACATTAGAAAGCATTTCGGTCGTTAATTACAATTGTTTTTAGATGGACCACCTACTTGTAGCTATCTTTAAGATGGATGCTTTATACTTTTGGACTGCATATTGTAGAAATGTGGTCCAGTACGCATGAAACAATTGTTTTATTATTATTATTATTATTGTTTTTTTTTCCAAATTAACCGCCGTTCACGCATAAGATATCTAAACTGGGTATTTATTTGACTGAGTTAAAAGGCTAGTTTTTAGACCAATGTTTTATTGCTAAGTAGTTTCAAACACCTAATGTCTAATGTCTATACTGATCTTTCCTCCAAGATAAAACAAGTGGTCAACATCAAGCTTTGAATATACGGCCACTTGTGATAGATATTTTGAGTGAAGACTAGTTCGTAATTATATATTTGAACCGGTCGTTCAACCAAGAAAAGGTAGTAGATGGGTTTGATAACATATGAAACAATTTTTTTAAATTAAAAATTAAAAGGTACATTTCTGTAAGTTTCCCTACAAGTTTAAGAAAAGGGCTAATAGTGAAAAGGTCAAAGAACCCCCTCACATCCCTTTTTTCGAATTTCTTGATATTTTTACCTTCCCTCGTCCTTGTTTTGAAGCAAAGGGCTGCGTTCTTAAATACAAATAATTGTTCTCCACCCTTTCGAAATCAGGAATATATGGAGCAACAATGTAAAAGTCAGAGGATCCTCCATGTTTCTTTTCGCTATTTTTATTGTGATTATTCTTCTTCCTAGTCCTACTTTTGAAATGGGGAATCGTTCGTAATCCATGAAGCTACACAAGTTAATCACTGAGGTCTCTTTTTTGTGTTTTTTTATGCATTTATCAACTTGCATTATATTACATGTTTGTTAAGCCCCCAAGTCCCCAAGTATTTATCAATTTTCATGGGAAATCAGCCATTAAATGTTGGTAAAAAACGTTCCAAATTCTTATTTGAAAAAACTGTTTAAGCAAAGAGGGAGAATAATATATTGGAGTTGACTCGAGGTATAGTTGGTCAACGTAGTGGGTGGCACAACATATTGGAATTGACTTGAGGCATAGTTGGTCAACGTAGTGGGTGGCACAACGTGATGTCTTGAGATCAATTTCTATTATGGCCAGAGACCCTTCAACACTGATCTACGATGTCTTGAGATCAATTTCTATTATGGCCAAGGATCCTTTAACACTTATCTACCGAAAAAAAAAACAAAAAAAAAAAAAAAAAAAGAAGAGCGGGGAGAGAGAGAGAATAAGATATGAAACTACCTTCCTATGTGTAACTTCCTCTTTAGCACGAATAAATCAACAATACCAACTATTAACTGAACAAGAGGGCTGAATGCTGCAGTAAAGACGGGGCCTCTTCTCTCCACGCACCATGCCATTGCAATGAAGCATATGCCTGACCCCACCATACCCTGCAATTCAAGGACCCTATTACTCCCCATATAACGCACAAAGAAAAGGGAAAAAGGGGATTTTTTAAGGACCCAGTCAAGTTTTGGGCTGGGACCAAAATTTGTATGCGGATCCAAGTACAATTCATTAGGTCAAAATTCCTATTAAAGCCCATTCAAAACTTGACAAAATACTCTTAGCAACAGTCCATTAGCTTGTAGGGATAGGCCTAGGCTGGCTCTGGCCCGGTACGGGCCCTATTAGGAGTGGCCCGGGCCGGCCAATAGCAAATGAAAAAAAAAGAGATCGAAAAAAAAGCGAGAGCTGAGCGGCCAAATTGGGCTTGCACTAGCCCTAGCCCTAGCCAGGCCCTTGTGCTATAGTTTGTGGCCCAGGCCCCACTTTTTTTATGTCTTGCCATCCCAAGTGGTGAACTATCATACACTTTCGGTTCCCCATTCTAGTTGGTGGAGTTTTGCCATTCTTGGCCATTTGTTATTCGGAACGAATAGTCGATGATCTGGTAGTGTATCATGTACCACATACCACCGTGTATATTGTGCTTTCCCTCATAGCATGGTAAGTCATTCATTCTTTCTCTTATGTAACTTGCATTTTACCGGTGGCCAATTCACGTCAATAAAATTTGGAAGAGCATAGTTTTTTATTTCTTATTTTTTATTTCGTAGTTCAGTTGTAAGAATTGAACTTGAGATGTAGCTTTCCTAAATGTCAGCTGCTAGCCACTTAAGCCGACTCATGATTCCTAATTAGATAAGTATACTTACAGCATAAAAGACTGCAATGAGCTGCATATGACCTTTCAAAGTCCAATAAGATGGCTCCCTGTGAATCAAGAATGTTAGTAGAGCTGAAATAATGGCACCAAAAAGGGACATGAACACATTGCTGGTGTATATAACTGGATATCTCTTGCTCAGTTTTGCTTGTATTATGAACCATGAAGACCAGCATATGCAACCTCCCAAGAGAGTTATAGACCCTAAGGTCCATTTCTCGTGCCTCTTCGGTAAGGTGGCCCTAGCTAACTGGTTCTCATATGAACGCGAGTTCGTATTCATGTGCCACAGGGTGAGTGCTGGGCCCCTATAGAGTGTGAGTATCATGGCTCCAGCCACACAAACAAGTGTCCCAAACATCTTTGCCATTCCCACCTTGTTTTTCATGTTGATACTCTCCAACCTGCAAAAACGTATAACTGTCTCTGTTATTATGGGTCTTTCATGAACGAAAAATGAGCCTTGCAGCTAATAGTGAACCTACATGAATTTGTTATAGCGGCATCATTGCATGATGACCTTCTTTCCCCTTAATGATGGGCATCCTAGTGATTCTTTGGGTAGGAAAATGTTTGCCAAGAACTAGAAATATGAGTACAAGCTCGACCATTGAGGCAGTATTCTCCATTTCATTAATATTAATTTTGTGTTTGTTCTTTTTTTCGGTTAGGGTTTATGTGTGTTTCTTTGTTATTGGTTGGTGTATGGATGTACATGTTTATTTAGTAGTACTGAGCATCCAAATGATTTTTTTTTTAACAATAACCATTATCCATATTATTTATTTTTGAAAATAATCTTAAGAAATACCAATGATATGTCAGGAAACATGTAATAGAGAAATAATGAGGAAAATATATAGCAAAGAAACTAAATAAAGACACTAAATCGTAAGTGATGGCTTCTCATTATAGCAGATGAGTATTGATTTTCACCGTCCCGATTAAATCTTAACCTAGGTCAAGGCAATATGAGCTTTGCGGAAACAATGATAATTTTTCAAGGATGCTGAAGGATGGAGATTGGCAATCTTATGCATTTTGTATTTGAAATCTTCTCATAAGATACAGTTCCTCTCAATAGAATCCTGCAGAGCTTGCGATAATTTTAAGAAAGTTGTTTGTGAGGATCCCTCAAATTATGCCATCAATAATTGATTACACTAAGGATATATTCAATGGGTTGTTAATTGCTCTATGATATCCTATTCATCACAATGAAGCAGGTCATATACAAGTGAAATGCTGTGTATAAGTTTGAGGATTGGATTTAGAAGTACGACGGTTGAATCTAGCTACATATCTTGCTTAAATGCATTTGGGATATGACCTCATCTTATCCCTCATGAATCAGGAGGCAGGGGTTGAGAAACAAGCTTGTGTCGGACATACCCGAATGGTAATGCTATTAAGAAAGTTATCACTGGCACTATGTTGATGAAGGCACAAGCGAATGTCGCAGATGTATATTGAAGGCCAATGAAGAAGAGAACTTGTGTAAGCGAAGCCCTGGACATAACTGTTGAAAAGTTAGCATCCACAGCACAGTACATGAACCTTATCACTGAATAAAATCCCTAAAAATTGCATTATTGATTGGTCTCTATTGTAGCATATAAACATATAACATAAAAAGAAACAGAAGTTATTGAGTCCGTTGGTATTTTGTGTTTGTCCACAGTTACTACACTTGTTACAACTTACCCCATAATGCCACTCAGTATAAGGTGAAAAATGATGCTTATAGTGAGCTTGGGCCTCCTTTTCCTGTAACCAAGTCTTTCAGTTTCCATCACCTTACATAAATGGTACAAAGGCATGAATCTTCACTAGCCTTACCTTTCTCGAATATAGGCTATCGGGGCTATGAAAATGGAACCGATCAATTGCCGGTATGTGACTAAAACCAATGGGCTCATTCCGTTGTTGAGAACAATTTGTACAAGTATATTCAGCCCCGCGAACGCGACCTGCACAGCCACCATAGCCACAATTTGCTTCCATATCCCACCAGACTTACTTTCAGCTATCATTTTCAAGAAGAGATAGACCTCTGGTTTTGATTAGGAAACGTTCGTCGGATTTTTATATAAGCCTGGTGGTGTAAAGTGATATTCTAGGAGAAGTGGGAGTAAAGCAAGATCAATTCTTGTGTCACATCATTGCTTTAGGCTCACAACTTTTGAATTTCTAATGTTTTTAGATATGGTGTCTTGAGTGATGAATGCTGAAAAATGAACCACGTGAGTGAAGGTATCTTAAATCACATCAATATATATGTTGATTCCCTTCATCTTTATTTGTTGGGTGCTCCTTCATCGGTATACAAAGAGGGCTTTTATTTTTGTTTTTGAAAAAGTTGTCCTCTCTTTTGTCCCCGGAGGAATCGACCTTGCCTGGTAAAGTCGGTTGTTACCTTTGATTCGAGAACATCAACTATTAAGGGTACGCCAACATTCATTACACAAAAGAAAAAAAAAAAAACAAAAAAAACGAAGAGACAAATTGGCTGATTTGAAGAACTTGTAACTCATATCACAAATCAAAATCCTCATAACCTTTTCCAAACTATTTGGAGTTAGCTATATGAATCTGGTCCGCCATTCTGCTGTAGCAAGGACCGTACTAACTAGATAATGTAAATTGTTGGGTTTGACGCGCCCACCATTTTCTTATTAAAAATTTTCTAGAAATTTCCACCAACCATTGCTTGGGTGGGAGAAACCCTCACATGGTGGACCGTGCACGTAGCCCTACTCCCAAACAATTGATTGGTATTGATATTGTTGTAATTCATTTGATATGCCTTTTTTGTCTTACATCTCTTCAATGTGAGATAATTCTCATAGCCCAACTAAAAAACTGATGGCGTTGTTGCATTGAATGAGCATATAGATTAATTCTATTAGGTAGGGATGGGTGGGCAATCAATAAGAGGGGTGAGCCACTTAAGCATCGTACGTTATAAATTAAATGCTCTATAAATAGATCTTTTTCTCTTATACAAGGACATCTATAAAATGAAATAGTCTATAATTATTTTTAAGATTAATTATTATTATTATTATTATTATTATTATTATTATTATTATTATTAAGATTTAATACTTTTTAAGGTTAATTATATTTATTTTTTATAATATACAAACATAAAGTCCATATAATTAATCTTTAATTACATATACTTACAAAAATAAAATTCCATATAGTAATTTACAAAAATAATATAATTATATGAAATAGTTGTATTAGCTCATAGGATGTTAAAAAAAATAAAAAATAATACTAATACTGGTTTATTGAACATTAAAAGAAATACTAGTTTATGGGATATTTTAATAGAGAAAAGTAACAGTAGCTCATACCACTTTGGAATTTATTTCAAGTTTGCTTTATCAATTATCCCACATTGCAAATATGAATTTTTTTATTTATTTTCTTAATTTTATTAAAATATGATTGGAAATTTATATTACTAAATTCTATATTTCTATCAACACTAATTATTATACATTAGACCTATTTATTTGTGAAGTCATACCTTTTTTTTTTAAGCGCGTTTATTATAATATTATAATTAATAATTATACTAATTATAATGATAATCAAATCTTATATTTTATTTATTATTTTATTTACATTATAAATTATGCAATGCATTATTTTTTGTTAAAGTTGTAAATTAGATTGTTAAATTTGATGATATTATAAGACAAATTTCAAATTTATTCTTATTTGTATAGTAAAATGATAATAAAATAGTAAAATACAAACCAATAATTCTAATTTCAATGTATAATATTATATTTAGTAAGGTTTTAATAAATGTTTGATGAGAATCTTCATACAGGGAAAGAAAATCTCAATATTCGCATATTGATGCAAAAAATTAAAAGTTATTAATGTAGCACCCTCATTTCTTATCGGATTCCTAAAAAACAACATTTATAATGATTTTTAATAATTTTTGTGATTTTTTTTAAGGCCGAGTTTGACCGATTCACTAATCCGGATAGGCTTTGGGGTGGCCGATCTGGGACGCTGATCTGTTTTTTAAACCATTGATTGAACCTGATGGATATAGTGATATTCAAAATCACTCCCACAAGGAAATCTCATATAGCCTAGCTAGACCCTACCTAAAATCCCCAGTTTTTTTCCTTGCCTTAGGAACCTTAGATTTAGGTCAAAGAACCTTAGATCTACCAATTCCAGCAAACAAAGGCATCCAAAAAAAGGAGATGGTGGCTCAAATCGGAAGAGCGGCCTGATCCAAGCCCGAAACTTTGGGTTTTGGGTCATTAGAGGTAAGTATCACTTTTCTTGCTTAATTTTGTTTTTTTTCTTCATTTAATTCTCTGTTTTATTTTATTTTTTTATGAAAATTAAATTATTATTAGATTTGATTAAATTTAAAAACATTTTTAGGTCAAAATACGGATTTGGAGCTGGTATTGCCAGTGGATTCAGAAAAAGACCGGATCTGTATAGATTTGGGATTTTTTTGAACCCATAATTCAAGCGACCCACTTTCTCTACCTTCTAAAAAATAAGTCAGTTTTTGCTAAGATTTGAGCAAATCTCATTCTAGAGATCGGCACAGATTGGAGCGTAAACACGTACTAGGACTATGGTCTTTTTTTTTACCTCAAAAGTGATTTTTCCTTTGCCTGTATTAGGCATGGATTTCCTATGAGGACTACTCATGTCCCCCTCTCATAATTTTTATTTTTAAATCTCATTGTTGAAAAATTTCGTAAAACACCAACATTGAGAACTTTTTAAGGTTTTTTCTATTTTTGGGTATTTTTGGGCAAATTTTCTAATTTCGAGAATTTCTAAGGAATTTCTTTCTTCTTTTTTTTCTCTATTTTTTTGGGTTATGGAGGGGGTATTTATAGAATTTCATTGGTGATTTTTCTTGATATTTTTGAAATTTTTCAAAATTTTTTGGGTTTATCTTGAAGCTTGTATCCTTATCTAATTAAAGAAGACGCCTTTACTGCATCATAAAATATATTAACTGCATCATCAGGCCACGTCTGGGCCTATCGGCCCGCGTTACAAGTCGGCCTGCGGCCCGATAATTGGGTCTCATTGGGACTAAATTGTCATTTGTTATATTAGTTTATCCGTATGTCTGATTAAGGCGATTATTGGACTGTTGGTAAACTATTGGGCTCTACGTCAAGTTGGGATAGCGTTTGAGCAATTTTGAAGCAATTATATTGGGTTTAGGTTTCTTAAGTTCTATTAGGGTTTGTGTGGTCCTTTAAGACCAGAATCGAGGTTTTTAGGAGTTCTCTTAGCCAGAATTTCAAGGGGGGGTGTCTGCAGTTGCCCCTCTTTGGCATTCACCTAGGGTACCAGGTGAATGGAAAAGAAGTAGACACTTGAGACATGATGGGAAGGAAAACTTTTTTCGAGGTATCATTTTTTTGAATGATCAGTACTCTTTGGGTAGACGGTACGCCGATGGATACTTTTGATTTGTACGACAACGAACTGACACTGCTATCTTTGAATTAGTGTTGTTGAGAGGTTTCCGACAATCGGGATCCGAAGTTACAGTCAATACGAACTGTGCTATCTTTGAGCTGATGACACTCCTTGTTATAGTCACTCTAATGCTACCTGGGATGTTGTCAGTGTAGTCATCTTCGACTTTAGACTCCTTCTTAGGGTCTGATTCTCCAATCGAATGAGATTTTGATTTAGAAGAAATGATGTGATAATGAATTTCTAGCCAATTAAACTTCTTGTTCGCCTTCAATTCTGATACTTGGGGTCCATAGGTTCAGGCTTTTTAGTATGGGAACATATGGGTTGGTCTCTGTTTTTCTAAAGGTTTACAAGCATGACAATCCAGGATTTGGTAGTGATGGACGCATCATATCCAAGCCTCCATGAAACTCCTTCATTTTTTAAAACATTTCCGAAGGTTTTGAACATAGATTGAATTTAGAAACAGAAACAGAGTTTTGGGCTATGTTTTAACCAAAGAAATTAAGGTTTTCGAAAACTCAAGAAACACATAGGGGAAATTTTGAAGATGGATGAAAAAATTTGAAAAACAAGTTTTAGTAAATAGTTTAGGCTCATGCTACTTACTATGGAGCTCTCTCTTCTTCTTCCCTTTTTTTTCTCATGAGTTTGTGGAGCCGTTACTTGGGACTTTCAAGATGAGGAATCACTAAGTACTTCCTCATCTTTCAATCTTGGCTCTTATGTCACAATTCACGGAAGATTTTTCTTGTTTTTCCGAGCAAACCGGTGTCTTGGATAATATGAGATACGCCTCAAAGTGCTCAGAATATATTTGGATTTCCAATTTTATTCATCCACTACCACTATTTTGAAGTTCAGATAGTCGAGCCTCTTCAGGTTTACTTGGATTGATGCCTTCCTTTGCTTCTAAGACTATTCTAACTTGAGGAGAGAAGAATTTCTGGAGATTTTGGAGAAGAGACGAAAAGATAGAGAAGTTCTATTTTAGTATCGCCCCGGGATCCCTTTTAGGTGTTCAGCCCCGTAGCGTTTTTTGTTTTCTTCAACGCTCGGGTTCCATTTGGATTTTAAGCTCAACGGATTTTTTTTTTTTTTTTTTGGGTGAAGATGAAGAAAGAGGAGGAGGAGAAGAGTCGAGGCATTTTTTTTTCCCTTCTTGTGGAACTTCTTCATAAAAACCTGATAAGAACTCAATCATTATTCATTCTTCCAAGTGGTAGGGAGAATATTCATCCTTATAGAATATTTCCTCCTTGGATTGCTTCACTTGAGCGTTGATCTTCATACTCAGAGTCACTCTCAGTTTCCTAGTCCTTCAATCTCTTGTTGGGTTGGCTAAGCTCATTTTCTTCTTCTTTTTTTTTTTTTTTCTATTTTTGTTTTCTATTTTTCAACTCCTTAGGTTGTCAATACCACGGAGTAGAATGCCTAAGTAGAGCATGAAAGCCCCACTTGGCTTATTTGAAAGGGAGGAGTAAGTGATCACCACACGCCTTTTCGGTAATCTTTTTCAGTTGCAACTTCATGTTGC